AAAGAACTGGAAAGGGTAATGGGGAGTTCAGTAAAGATGGCTGATTTATTAGGGAAGCATCAATCAGATAAGATAATTAAAGCACTTATTAAATATTTAAAAAGATACAGAATTAGCTGGGAGAATTTAGTGTGTGTATGTGCGTGTGTGTAAGTATAGATAGAATTTAGTTTCATGAAGATATAAAGATATATAGGCATTATATTTCTGAATTACATCTCCGTCCAGTTGATGGCGGTAATGCGCACAGGATGTAAACTGCCAGAAAACTCAATAGAAGAAGAAGAAGAAGTAGACCATCACCAACTACACTCCATACCAGTAAGTGGCGCTAATGCTACTAAATGTTTGTTGCCAACCGCCTTTAAATCTAACCAGAAGAAGAAGAAGGAATGACAGGAGGAGGAAACCGGTCTTGTTTTGATTTGTCTCCTCTTCTTCAGACTGAAGTAAGTCGTTTTCATCCATCATAAATCTTTAAGTAAAACATTTTTTTTATATCCAAAGTACCTTTTCCATCTACTGCAGGGTTTTTATGCTTCATTTATCCGGAACCACTGAGGCTAGGTTAGCTTACCTTTCCTTAAAACAACAGTTTATGCTCGTTTTGTGGAGATGTAGCTGTTGTATTAATACTGTGCAGTTGTCGGTGTTTGTTAATAATGTAATGCTAAGGTGCTAATGCTAAGTAGCTGGAGTGTTAAATGGTGAATGGAAGCCCCTCGGCTCCTGGCTGGAGCAGAAATCGGAGCTCTAAGGGGGAAAAAACGGCATTAATGCGATAAATGAATGTTGATGTTTGTTGCTGGGATCAATATCGATGTTATATTCATGACGGGATTAATAACTTTATCTCTTTATATTAGTATTAGCTCTTTGTATTAGTATACAGACGCAGCTCTTTTCTTATCTGGTCAACTTTGACCCAGATCAACGCCTCTGTTCCAGGAAACATGTTGCAGAGCCTGAAATCTGACTTTCCTATTCCTGACTGTGATCCAGAGATAAAGAGTTATTTGATTTTCCCCTTTTAAAGCTTCCACAGATTGGTAAAGAAGTTGGGTTATGAGAAGATTATGAAACAGGGAGTTCAGTGACCTATGGTTTACCCTGTGGGTGCTCTGTGGGTTTACCTAATCCATTACATGCTGTGAAGAAGTTCTCACTCTGTGGATTAAACCCTTCAGACTCCAGACTTCCTGCTCTGCATGTGTGCAGGGGGGGTGGGGGGGTAGTTGCCTAGGGCCTCAAGTTCCTGGGGGCCCCATTAAAACTCTGTTTCCATGTATGGTTAATACAACTATTCCTTATTTGTGCACATTAATTATGTTTTTGATAAAAATCCTTTCACTAAAATGCCATCAGAAAGCTGATAATATTATTCAGTGTCCACCATCTTGGATCAGTCCATTTGCTGCACATGTTCAGAAAGGTCCAAACAGACAGCAGCAAACCATTTGAAAACAACATAAAGAGCTGGGTTGCCATCACTGATCTCTATTTATTCACTGGGTTGCTGGTTGCCTGTTGGTAGTACGAGGTTGAAGTGAAGCCACCTGCTGCCATGTTGGTACTCCCTAGTTAGACCGGTCGCAACGTAAACAATCTGTGCCCTACAGCATCAAACAACGATGATATTCTCATTTTCAGGGGGACTTAAGACATTAAATATAAAGATAAATTCATCGCTTTGACACAGACTGGCTGTTTCAGAACATCAGTAGATTAACTTTAACTTATGATAAAATAAAATAAAAAGGCCCATCACATTGCATAGTCATTATGAAGTTAATAAATCATGTAATATAACATATTATACAAATCCATCACAATAAAAAAGGATTTATTAACGAAGCAGAATAATACAGATTTGCCAAAACTGAGAAACTGATTATTATTATTATTATTGATTACATTTTTATGGTAATTACATCTGGTCATTTGAAAACATTATACATACAAGTACACAAACACACACATACACTATCCAGTGATTGAATAACTTTATTAACATATTTATGTTATTTATTTATATATTTATATATATATATATATATTAGGGATGCACGATATAACCGGCCCCCTATCGGTATCGGCCTTAAAACTGAATATCGGACATCGGCCACCCAACCGATATTTAACCTGATATTTGATCAGCTTCTGAGTTTCTAAAGTCTAAAAAAAAATAAAAATTACTACTTCTTCTTCTTCCTCAAAAACTTCTTTTTTCCAGACTTAAAAACTTCTAAAGACGAGGGAAAAAATATTGATCCATTAAAATATCCCAATATCTTCATATGCTGATATATTGCCATTTAAAAACACCATATCAATCTCTTTTACTAATGAAATATTGCTATATGTCATCGTTATGCTACGAACTCCCCC